CTCCAGGGATGGGGACTCCAAACCTCCCTGGGCAGCCCCTGCCAAGGCCCGACAACCCCTTCCATAAAGAAACTTTACTGTAACTCCAGCCTGACCCTCCCCTGGCACAGCTTGAGGCCGTTCCCTCTCATCCCATCCCTCATTCCCTGGGAGCAGAGCCCGATCCCACCCGGCTCCAACCCCATCAGGGAGCTGTGGAGAGCGACAAGGACCCCCTGAGCCTCCTTTTCTCCAGGCTGAGCCCCCCCAGATCCCTCAAGAATTCTCCAGCCCCTTCCCCAGCTCTGATTCCCAAAAAATCGGATTCACAAAGCTGCAGGTCCAGGACACCCATCCAGCCCTTCACTCCCTCATGGCTCAGACCCCTCTCAATACAATGAACAAAACATAAAACACTCAAAGTTCTCCCTCTCCCCAGGATCAACATTAACCCACATTTCACTCCTTAAAAAAACCCAAAAATTCCTTCATGGAAACAGCGTCTTGAAGGACTAAACGAGCAACCAGGCATCAATATTTATTAACACAAGACAAAGGAAACACAATCAATGCGTTAATGGGACACTGTCCAGCCAGGTGTTAAATTTAAAAATGTAACTAAGCTAATTTTAAATAAATAAAACCTTTATACATAATTACAGAAACGCCGGAGTCTGGATTGGACAATGGGAAAGAGGTTGACAGAAATTAAAGGAAAACAAATGCACCTAGGGCTAAAATTGATCTGGTTTTTACAACCTTATTTTAGAGCAGTTAGTAGGAAACAGCTGAATTCCGTTGATTTAAACCAGAAATGAAGTGCAAATTCCAACAGAAGAGGATAAAACCGACCTGTTCCCACACAGTTTGCTCAGGGAAGATCCAGAAACAGTGAGACACACAAACTAGTTTAGTCCAGGGGGAAGAATTCCCAGTTTTTCAGTTTCACTGCAGTTGCTAAGCTCGGAATCTTATGGACAAGAGGAAGGAAAAATGTGCCCTGTGCAACTCCAGGAGCTGGGAGGTCAAACCAGGGGGGAGAGGCTGTTTTTTGGGGAAAAGCACCCAGCCCTGCCCCTGCCAATGTCTGGAGTGAAGGATCTTGGTTTGTTCCCATATGGAAAAATCACAGAGGAAGGAATGGAAGGAGTGGAATGACCCGTGGAAAGCTCGTGGAGCCAGAGGAAGAATTTGGGGATTCCGGAGTCCCGGCTCCATCCTTCCTCCTCTCCAGCACTTTGCTTCCCACTGTGCCAAAACAGGGACAAAGCACCCAGGGAAGCCAAACTGAGCAGCTGCTCCATGTCCCTGGAATGTTCCCTGCATCCTGCAGTTCTCCAGCCCAGAGAAGTGGAAGGTGCTGGAAGGAAGACTTGGAGCACCCAGGGAATTGCAAGAGAAAAGCCCCCGAGGCATGAAAAGCCATCGGTGCCCATCCAAACAAAAAAATAAAGGGGAAAAGAGATCAAATGAATCCAGTCTCATTCAAAAATGCCATTTTGGGAAGGCCACCTAGCACACTTGGGAATCTCTGCTGGAATTCACACACACATTGTTTCGTTTGTGAAGGATCACGAGGAAAAATAAATGACAATCCCGGAATTGGACTTAAAATCCACTCCAGGGGACAAAAAGCATTTGCTGAAACAATTTTAACTAAAGCTTTTGAGTAAAGGAAAAGGTCCAAGACCACCAGAATTTTCCCTGGAAAGGTCACATTGGAGTGAAGCTGCTCGGCCAGGCCTGGGCTGTGCAAGAAACACAAAAATGGTGACACAGAACACGGAATAACAGGAATTTTCTGGCTGAAAAGGGAGAACCACCTTTGTGCACTTTACACCCAAAACAAGCTGCAGGAGCAACTGTGTTAGTCACAGTTTCCCCTGTCACTGTCCCCACTTTGTGGTCAATTTGTTAAAACTAAACACATTAAAGGTTTGGTGCCTATTCTGCTGACACTGTGGAAAACACAGAAAAGGTTCCAAAACGTGCCCCCCGTGAACTGAAGTGTTTGCAAAGAACCTTCAGCCCAGACCTGCCAGAAAACTTCCAGTTCCTAAAGCTATTTCCCCACCAAATATTTATTCTTTTTTATTTTTATTTTTTTTCAAAAATATACTTTCAAACTTCTTCTCTGAGGTTTGTTTTTTTTTTTTTAAAGCTCCTGTTTTTCGGTGAGGAAACTACCAGGATGCAGCAGGAGCTTTTTTTTTCTTTTTCCAGGACATGGCTGGGCTTTGCCCACGGATCCACTGGGTCCTGCTCCAGGAACTGCCACAGGATCTTCTGAGTCCACACCACGAACCTTTTTAAAAACGGCCTAAAAACTTTGCATGAGGTATCTGGAACATCTGAAAAGTTTTATATTTACACTGTATATACCACGTGGGACTCAAAAAAAAAAAAACCCTGTTGCAGGATCTGGCAGCAGCCCCCAAGGCTTCCAAAATCATATTTTAGCACCCAGAGGAATGTAATTGCTATTGAAAGATGAAGTGTTAAAACGGAAAAGGTCATTTTTGAGTCAAAGCTCAACCACCGGCTCCGTGGAAGGGCTTCCCAGCAGGAAAAGCTTGTACCTGCTGCTCTAAGGCTTCTCTTTCTTCCCATTCCCTAACTTTGGAGCTGACCCAGGAGGTGGAAGGCTGGGAGAGCAGTTTGCACAGCTTTGTTGAACGCTGTGTTTGCCACAATTGCTCTGTCCCCTGTAAAATAAAAATTGCATCCGACTCAGGATTCTCCCGTTCTTTCCAGGGAATGCTCTGAGGGAAGATGGGCTCTTTGCTCCCAGTTTTCTTAAAGCCTATTTACAGTATTTCCTGGGGATGGAAGGAGTCATGGATGGCACAAGCAGGGCAGTTACCTGTGTGTCCACCTAAGGAATGTTTTTCCTTCCCACACCTGGAGCCAGAGGATGAGGCAGAGGCTGCACCATTCCAGTTCAGGATTCGGGACTTGCATTGCCATTTCTCCCCAGTTCCACGTTTTAAATTCATCTCTTGGAGAAAGATGTGCCTTAATATCAAAGGTTCTACATGCTCTGACACACTTCTGGCCAGAATGAAGAGACAAATGAAATCAGAAACCTGTGGAAGGTGGGAGCGTCTCACATTTGTGTCTAAGCCAATGCCAGGATGCTGAGGACCACAAAAGTCACCTGTCCTTAAAAACATCAACCTTCAGCTGTCCTCATTAGCCAAGTTAATTTTCTATCTAAGTGAATTATGTATAATAATATTTACATATTTAAAATATAGGCAAAATTCTTTTTTTTTAAATTCCAGAAATCTCTATATGAATAAGTAACTCTTCGATTCCGTACGTTATTGATTTGGTCATGGCACAATTGTCAATAAGTTGTGTGATCCCAGGGGATGAACAGCTCCAGATGCAAAGGAGATCATGGAGTAGGGAACTGCAGAACTCTGATGACCCTTTTTCTTAATAGTTTATTATCTTAACTAAATAAACCCTCCCCTTATAGAATCCTACCCCGGGATTAGATAAAAATACAAATATGTACAACGGATGAAAAAGTAACACTACTGTAAAGGCCTTGGGGGTTTTGTAGCTCACACACTTTTCCACTTTGCATTTCTCTAAAGCTCATGTGTTCAGTAAACTGTTACAAAGGTTTGCCAGTTGCCTCCCAAATTCCCTCCGCTCCCTGGGGCCGGGAGGGAGGGAATGGTGGCAGCAACCTCAACCTGTAGGTCAAGTATTAGTAATTTCACCAGCTTCACTTCCATCACCACCCTGGTCCTTCTGGGCTCCTGCAGCTCCTCCCATCACATGTTGTAGGCCACGTAAATGGGGTCCAGCTGATCCGCCAGGAAACTGTCCCGGAGGTGCATCCGCTGCTTCTCGCCTCGGGAATTGATGGGAATGACCCCGGGATCCACCACCACCACCACTCCCACGATCAGGTAATGCTCTTCCAGGACCACGTTGGTCACCAGAGGGACTAAATCCAGAGCCTCCTGCTCGCAGCCACACAGCTCCACCACCACCACCAGCAGGTTGGTCCAGGTGAACACGGCGCTGGGAGGGCAAAGGAAAACCAACAGAACAACACCCGGTTATTGGCACAAAGACCCCAAAGTTTCCAGCTGATTATCCTCAGGTGGAGTCTCCCACCCGCTCTGGGCTGCATTTCCAACCTGACCCCGAGGTGACCTGGCCCTGACGTGTCAAAGACCAGTTCAGAGCCACCTCAGCACCACCCGTGTGACGCAACAACGCTGCTGCCACTGACTGAGAAGTGGCTCTTTACACCCCAAAGCAGCAAATCATCATTTCTATTCAATACTGAGGCTCGTGAGGAGACACCGAGTCTGTTCTGTGTGGAAATCAGGTGCGTGACCGGCCGAGGGCAACGCAGGTAAATCTGAATTTCCCAACAGAAAAAAAATCCGAATTTCCCTATTTTTTTTTTTGCCCAGTTAAACCCTGCACCTTTGCCTAAACTGCTGCATTTCAGCTGGGCCAGGAGGAGCCCAGCCCTCCTGTGGGGGGCTGTGTTACCATTCAGCAATGCTCCTGTGGGTCCGGGACACCGAGGTCTCGATGTCGATGGGGTGGTAGCGCAGCCCCCGCAGCTCCAGAGTCTCATCCAGGGCTCCCACCACGTACAGGGCGTCGTGGCGCTCTGGGGAGAGAGGGAAAACAGCTGGAAGGGTTGGGATTCAGGTACAACAGTGTCTGCTATAAGCCAAAGAATCATGGAATGGGAAGGGGCCTTGAAGATCATCCAGTTCCACCCCCTGCCATGGGCAGGGACACTTTCCACTAGACCAGGTTGCTCCAACCTGGCCTGGGACACTTCCAGGGATGGAGCATCCTCTGGGAAATGCATTCCAGGGCCTCACCACCCTCACAGAGAGGAATTTCTTCCCAAAATCCCATCTAAAATCTGCTGGCGGTTTGAACCCATTCCCCCTTGTCCTGGCACTCCCTTGGAAATAGTCTCTCTGCCCCTTTCCTGCAGGTTCTTTTCAGGTCCTGGAAGGCCACAGTGAGGTCACCCCAAAGCCTTCCCTTCTCCAGGCTGAACAATCCCAATTTTCCAGCCTTTCCCCCTGGCAGAGCTGCTCCATCCCTCTGATCATCCTGGTGCCTCTGGACTCTCTCCAGCAGCTCCACATCCCTCCCTGTGCTGTTCCCCTGCTGGAGGCAGCTCTGCAGGGGGGGTCTCAGCAGAGAGGCAGAATCCCCCAGCACAGGAGAGGTTCTCTAGGCCACATCCATCCTCTCCCCACATCCTTCTCCATCAGCTCATCCCCACCCTGCCCCAACACCGGCGGTCGCCCCGACCCGGCTGCGGCGCCAACATTTGTCTTACTAAACCCCCCGAGCTCCCTGAGGGCCACTTCTTGAGCTCATCCAGGCCCCTCTGGATGGCCCTGTCGTGGAGATGTGTCACCCAGAGCCCCCAGGGTGCCTCCCCACCTCCGCTGGCCGCCGTGAGCTCGGTGCGCCGCACGAAGCCCAGGTAACCGGTGCGGGCCCAGAGCGTCTGCGCCGCGTCCCCGAAGCTCAGGCGGGTGTTGAAGTGGTCGGCCTGGAGGGTCTCGTTGTCGTAGATGGTGTAGTAACCACTGGCTGTGTGGGGGCTGTTCACCCAGATCTGTGCAGGGAGGGGACAACAGTCACCCCCAGGCCCCACGAGCGCTGACGTGGAGCGGGTGAGAATCAGAGAACCATGGAATCACGGAATCATGGAATCATAGAATCACAGAATCATAGAGTCACAGAATCACAGAGTCACAGAATCATAGAATCATGGAATCATGGAATCACAGAATCATGGAATCACAGATACATGGAATCACAGAATCATGGAATTATAGAATCACAGAATCACAGAATCATAGAATCATGGAATCATGGAATCATGGAATCACAGAATCATGGAATCATGGAATTATAGAATCACAGAATCAGAGAATCACAGAATCATAGAATCATAGGATCACAGAATCATAGAATCATGGAATCATGGAATCATAGAATGACAGAATCATAGAATCACAATCATGGAATCAGCTGGGTTGGAAGGGATCTCCGACATCACCAAGTCCAACCCTTGATCCAACCCCGCCGTGGTTCCCAGCCCATGGCACTGATGCCACATCCAGTCTCATCTTTAAAACCTCCAGGGATGGAGAATCCACCCCCTCCCTGGGCAGCCCATTCCAAGGGCTGAGCACCCTCTCTGCAAAGAAATTCTTTCTAATCTCCAACCTAACCCTCCCCTGGCACAGCTGAAGACCGAGCCCTCTTGTCTTGCTGATGGGAAAAGAGCCCAACCCCCCCCGGCTCCCCCCTCCTGTCAGGGAGTTGCAGAGAGTGAGGAGGTCTCCCCTGAGCCTCCTCTTCTCCAGGCTGAGCCCCCCCAGCTCCCTCAGCCTCTCCTCACAGCACTTGTGCTCCAGTCCCTTCCCCAGCCTCGTTGCTCTCCTCTGGACCTGCTCCAGCCCCTCAATGTCCTTCCTGAGCTGAGGGCCCAGAGCTGGACACAGCACTCCAGGGGTGGCCTCACCAGCGCTGAGTCCAGGGCAAGAATCACTTCCTTGGACCTGTTGGCCACACTGTTCCTGAGACAGGAAGCTCCAAGGCGAAGGTTCCCTTTTTATCCACCATTTTTTCAGACCAAAAAAACCCCCATTCATTTAGGTCAGACCTCCAAATATCCTCTACTGTCCTTTATTATCTCAATAATGCACCTTGCAGATCTACTCTCAGGACTCACTGAGTAAACAAACTGAGGATTTTTAACGTGTTGAGTCCAAAATTTGATAATAATCTGCCAACACAGACAAATACACCGGTGTGTAATCAAGATAAGGAAAGCCAAATGTAAATTAGATTATTTGGGAGCCAGTTTGCAAGATTTAGAGTGGAATAAGCTTTCCTTTCTAGTGGGTTTTGTTTCGACTGGGCAGTGAAATAACACCCAAATTCTGAGAGCTCCAGCAATAATTCAGTTTACAAAGGCCTGTGAGTGTCACAGCTCCAAACTGTCCCCCAGCAGCTTCAGAACCCAGCAGAGAAGAGCTGAAGGAGCAGCAGGAGAAGGTCCTAAAGGAGTAAAATCTCCACTTACCTCCCCAAGGTGGGAATCTCCCAGAGGCCCTTTTGTCTCCGGGTTGACAATGACCACTTTGACTCCAGGCAGAATCTAAGGAGCACAAGAAGGAATGTGTAATTCCTGCTGGATTATCCTTCAGGCACAATAAAACACATTCATTCAGGGCAGGATTTCACCCACAGCCACCACGAGCAGGGATAAAACAGGCCAGGACAGGTACAGTGAGGCAGGATCAGGGTATGGATGGGTTCCATGGCTCAAGGGCCACACAGGGAGGGCATTCTGGGCCTGGACATGTTGCTGGACCTCGATTTTGAGGAATTCAGTTGCAAAAATACTGGAAAACCTCTTTGTGTTAATCCATGAGGGAGCGACAGTAAATCCCAAATACAGACTGATTTCAGGGATCACATAGCCCCCACTTCTGATGTGGACTCCATGATCTCAGAGGTCTTTTCCAACCTAATTCCTTCTGTGATTTGGTTCATTTACTGCAAACAGAACCAATTCTCCCACGAGAAAACACACTCCTTAATCATTACTTCATTATAAATCCAACTGATTTTCCAGAGGAACGGCGTAACCAAGCCCTTCCCAAGCCTTGCCATAGGATTATCCTTCTCAGGGCTGTAACAAATGTGTGGTTCCCAACTTCCCTGTGCTGTGGCTCTGGATAAAGATATGGAATTACCTTCCCAGACTCGGAAAGCAACAGGCTCTGTGGAGCTCCTCGTTCCACCAGACGGACTCTGAAGGGAAAGAAAACCTTGTCAGGATTAAAATTGTGGAAATCTCCAGAGCAGTGTGAGAGCTCAGCACCCTCACAGCATTTTATACAACTGTTAAATTGATTTAATGAACTCACTGTACCTGTCATGTCTCAAGGACTTCAGGTCCACGTACACCGTGGTGGGATCGGGCCCGGACGTTCCCTGAGGAGTTAAAACATTTAAAACCCATCAGTTTTGTCTCCAGCAGGCAGGGGAACTCCTGCCTGAGCTCAGAAACCTTCCCAGGGGTTTCCTACAGCAAAATTCCTACTCACATCCCCCCCCAGCTGCACAAATGGAGACCCTTCAGTGAACAGGTCACTGGGAAACACTGGGGTGGGAGGGAGGTTTGGGAAGGGGGGACACAGTCCAAGCCCCCTCAGCCATCAGTGCTGGGGCAACCAGGCACTGTTTGTGTGGGAATAAACACACCAATATTATGTGGGAATAAAGACACTAATACTATATGGGAATAAACACACCAATACTATATGGGAATAAACACACCAACACCATGTGGGAATAAACACACCAATATTATGTGGGAATAAACACACCAATATTATGTGGGAATAAAGACACTAATACTATGTGGGAATAAACACACCAACATTGTCCATGTGGGAATAAACACACCAACACCATGGGAGAATAAACACACCAACACTATGTGGGAACAAACACACCAACACTATGTGGGAACAAACACACCAACACTGTCTACGTGGGAATAAACAGCCCCCCAAGTCACGTTCCAGCTGTTTGGAGCATCTGTGCCATAATCTGGCAGCCCAAAACAAGGGAAGCTGCTGAACCCCTGTGCCAGCTGCTGCGGGCAGGGCAGATGTTGGGCTCCAGAAGGGTGGGCAGACGGGGGGGGAGTTTGTGGGTTCCGGAACAGAGCCAAGCCCAGAACGTGGGATCTGGGATTCCAGGGAATGTGGGATCTGGGATTCCAGGGAATGTGGGATCTGGGATTCCAGGG